CGACCATCCTCGAGTTGTTTACCAGCGAAAATAAGACGTTGTTGGTCTGGGGGAATTCCTTCTTTATCTTGGATTTTGGCTTTGACTTGATCAATAGTATCTGAAGACTCTACTTCCAAGGTGATTGTTTTACCGGTGAGTGTTTTTACGAATATTTGCATACCCCCGCGAAGTCGAAGAACAAGATGAAGGGTAGATTCTTTCTGAATGTTGTAATCGGAGAGGGTGCGACCATCCTCGAGTTGTTTACCAGCGAAAATAAGACGTTGTTGGTCTGGGGGAATTCCTTCTTTATCTTGGATTTTTGCTTTTACTTGATTTATGGTGTCTGAAGATTCAACCTCAAGAGTAATCGTCTTTCCAGTAAGAGTTTTAACGAAGATTTGCATGTTTAAATATTTTGTAATCGAAAAATAAAATTTATATCCTGTAAAATGTAAACAAAAAAAAACGCTTTTGAAAGGGTAAAAAAAAAATTATAAAATTGAAGAGGGAGGTTCTTTAAGCCCTTTTTATAAAAAAAAATCAACGTTCCAGATCATACTCGAATTTGCTGCAAAATTACGAAATTACTCATACATAATGATTACAATTTGTATCATCCGACTAAACACATAAACACTAAATATGATTAGTAATTTCTAAAAAGAAGGTCATTTTTCTTTTACAAATGACACGTGCGGAATGTGTGACAGGTTACGCCGATTATACGGGTATCCGACGAAAAAAATGCGGCGTCGAAATCATGATGGCAAAAAATTTCTCACTTTTTTTAACTAGTAAAGCAATATTTCAAAGTCTGGACAACTGATATTCCCGCTTTCTCTATAAAAACAGGAGTGGTTAATGTATGTTGAAATTTCGGAAATTATTAGTCAAGATCAATCCCCATAATGAAATCAGAAATCTTTCTTTTCCTCATTCCGATAAATTGATAATAAATACTATACTATCATGTGGGAATATGATGATCAAGCTCGGAGAGTATTTATCCGCTTTTGCTCTCATAAAAAGAAGTGATTAATCGATGGAGGCTGATAAATGATTTTGATAGCACGGGAATTTTTGGGATCATGTAATATGATTACGACGTAATTATTTCCAATTATGGAATAAAGAAAAGCTAAAAAAAATACATCCTTATACGTTATTGCAGAGTGATAACACATTCCGGGCTCCATTCGTGTCAAGTTGGATACCTTGTTGCCTGTTCATACCTCCTTAATTGATGATGTTGCTCGGATGGAGGATGTATATGATGTCATGTCAAAAGAGGAAATCTGGCGTCATAGAGCTGGAATTGCTTCAGATATTGTCAGAAACATGCCTTCCTTTATGTCAATAGATGCAGAAGTGTAGATGATGGATTTACTTGGGATATGTAATTGCAAAAATTAAGAGTATTAAAAATTTTAATAAATTTGAATCTTTGTTACTAATCGGCATATTTGTGAATTTTTTACCGCATCGTGTGGAAAATATATATGTCACGTGTGGTGGGTCTCGTCAATTCGTTAAACGTAATCGGATTTACTTCAAGCTTAAGCACAAGTGATGAATCTATTTTATTATCGACACCAGACCTATCTCTTAAGAGCCTACTTATCACCTCAACTGCAATAGCCCGACTTGGTGCCACCCAATTTTTTATTTTCATGTCTTCATACCATAAGATGTGCCAATCGTCTATAAGGTTTGATAAGATTCCAAAAACTTTCCTATCATCAGAAGTAAGTGAATCGGCAACGAACATTTCCAAAATGACCTGCATCAGATGTCTCCTCTCTATTTTTTTTTTTCAATTCTAGCACCGCAAAAATACCTTCTGGGACCGTCTTACCTTTTATATCAAAGTCATTTACAACAACCACATCAGTTCCACCATGAATAATAAATGGTAACCTGGGGTTCTTATAATTTAGTAATTGTTTGTTATTTTCAACATCATGCCAAACACGATGACCGGTCAAAGGAATGTTTTCACGTAGCCAATTCATATATTCTTCCTTATATACGGGTTCCGACTGTTTCTCGATCCATTTAAAAGCTGGTATTGATACATTACTAGGTGTAGGTAGATTATCGAAGAAGACAGTTTCAAGCTTGAAATTAAGATGAGATTTAAAGAGTCGGAAGTTCTCTGAACTGACTTTGGAGATGGATATAGTTTCAATAGCCGGTTGAGTAATTTTTTTGTATATTTCATCAATTTTGATGGAATCTTGTGAAAGGTAGGGAGAGGTTTGGATAATTGGGGCTGGAATGAAAGAATGTGGAAAAAATCATACGCTATAAACAGTATATAAACGTTAATTCGAATAGTGTACGTTGGTAATACTTGCCAGTAGCAGGCGGCTTTATGATTATATGTATATTTTTTTTGGGTGGCGTAGAGTCCCAATAATGTCTGATCTCCCTTGCACCAGCCAACGCTTCATTATCTTGTAAGGTAAGATTTTGAAGCTCTTCTTCGTTGTCAACAGGGAATTTCGACTTTCCAAAGCCTCAATTCAGAAGCATCGATATTCATAAAAGTTTGCTCATTTACCTTTTTAATTGTATTTTTAAGATCCCCAACATACTTGATCTTTCCAATCCTAACGGAAAAAGACTCCGCTAAAACATCTTCTAAAACCAAGCAAATAAACGTAAAGGACATGTTTATGAACAAGGTTAGATATTCGATAAATCTTGGTCACAAAAAAATCGGAATAATTAAGAAAGGACCGATTTCCCCTGCGTACCATCAAAAAATGTCACGAAATTTCACGTGATATAATTTTTCACCGGTGTCACTTCCTTCCGCGTTTTCATCTTTACCAAGTATTATAATTATTGGGACTTAGAATTTTTCAGTAATTAAAAATCTATTTGTAACTATACGTCACATGTGCGCCACAATTAATTCCAGCCAAATGCCGTGATGCCGGCCATTTCGTGACATTTTTTGATGGGTACACAGGGGAAGTCGAAAGCGGCCAAAAAATTTTTATAAATTTTTGGCTGACCAACTTTGGCCGGGCCAATGGCCATGGCCACGGCCAATGCCAACCCTGGATTAGCTGAGTACAGTTTATATGTATAAAAATAAATTTAAAGAAGTAAGAGTAAAGGTCTAGTAAAAATAATAATTTCTTTACTAATTTGTATTTTGCTTTTAGTATTTATTGAATAAACTTATATTTTATTTATAATTTTTTATACTATTAAAATTTTTTATTTTATTGTCAAGAATTTATGTAATTGGAAATGGATTCTTCTGTAAATTGAACTTAACCTTTAATTTTAGTATAAGATTATAGTACAAGATTAATTAATTGAAACAAAAGTTCTGAATTCTGAATTAGCTTTTTTAATAATATAATAATTAAATTAATCATTTTTATATACCTTACCATAAATGTTTTGAATATTTATGTATGATGATAATTCTGCTAATGTAAATAAATTTCTTTAAATCAAACGATTAATTAAGATACATTTGTAAAGTGAACGAGCATATTCAAAATATTGTAATATATATGGTAAAGTATTAATGTAGGAGAAGGTTTTGATGCTTGAAGTAATTTTAATATTTGAAAAATAATAAATTTTGATTATTTAAAACTAAATTAAGCATCATCGCATATGCGAGATTTTTCTAAAAAGTATAAATTAATGTAAAATACAGAAGGATCATGGCATTCTATTTTTATGATTATTTTTGTTTGTCATAATAAATAGATCAGTAATTTATCTACAAAATGTATAGTTTTCAATAATTTAGATTTATGCCAAGTAGCGTTCCCCTCATATTTCAATCATTTAATCTAGCAGATGAATGCTTCCTTAAAATTTTTTTTGATGTCTTCCTTGAACAAAGAAAACCCTCTTGAAAAGATGAAAGGTATTTTCTTGTTACTAATAAAGATTTTGTCAAGGAATTTTTCAATGAACACTTGATACAACTGATGGCCAATAAAATTAAAACTTCATTTATTTGCTGAGTGGAAATGTTAGGAAAAAGTTGCCTTTCGATCATCTCAAAAAATTTTTCACTTTGATGATTTGAATACCTAATTTCTGTTTTATAAATTGAGGATCCTGTCTTATTTTACAAATTTTATTCTTTTTTTTTGCATCTAATGTTATAAGGATATCTTGATAAAAAAAGACAAGCAAATATTGTCATGTTATTTCTAGTAAACAAACACTGGATTTCAGATAAACATCGCCTCGAATTTTTGTGGTTCAATTCCTAATTATACAACGATTTCAAGACTTGAAAGTAAAAAATATCATGATCTATGTTGTCAGCGCATTTATCAGAAGAATATCTTGAGAACCCGATCCCATTTGGGCAATATTTTTGGAATTATTTTCTACTGTACTTAATTATTCTACTAATTTATAATGGATTCTGGAACGAATTAATTTTAGCTAAAAATCTTATTACTTACGAAAGGATAGACTTTTTCAAACATTCTCAGATTGAATTCTCGAATTATGTCTCAGCCATTACAGAAAGACTTTCAAAATATGAATACAGCATATACAATCAACAGAACGTGATCCTAAATATGAATAAATGATCCGCCTCAATGAGTGTTAAAGTTCTCTACTTTTATGAGGACTCAAGATCCAATTTCCTGTGAGACTGGATCTTTAACTTACCAGAAAACCAGAAACTGGCACAATAAAAATCCTACGAATGCTCGGGTACTGTTTATGCATTGTCATCGAAATCTCCGAGTGTTATCAATAGTAGATAACCAATTCTGTATACCTCTTGAGGGTAAGAGATAATAACCAAACGCTATCTTATAATCAGAAATGATTTTGGCCCAACTGATTAAGATTGAAAAACATTCTTCAGGACGATTGCGTCATCCAACAACTCTTGGTAAGTCTAGAATCATCTACTAAAAAACCAGAAGAAAGTTCTGTTAAAGTTCTAAAGGCTTACTCCATTGAAGTTCAAAAAAAAATTAAATTTCATCGTCAAAGATGACCAAAAACATGTAGGTCAAAAGTACTTTCTACATTTCTACTTTCGATATTTGATTGCAACACTTCTAAATGCTTAATACAAATTGTATCCGCTTTCATTGTTCCCTTCTTGAATTTTATGATATAATTTTAGATTTCTAAATGGATACACAACTTATTTAAGTTAACATATTATATTATTTATTAATATTACAAATTCAACGAGCATAGCTGTTGTAAAAGGAGGGGAAGGATGTAAATAACAAATGGCAAATAACTTAAAATCATCTAAGGAAGGTGAGATAAAAGAATTATTGACAGTATAGCCAAATTAATTCACTTAATAAGATCCAAATAAGATCCATATTTAAGACAAATATTTTTGCCGATTTTAGCAATGTTATTAAAGCTACGCATTAGCCGAGTAATTTCGAGCTACTATAAATTAGGCTCTCATGCTCGATTCGAGCTGGCTTACAAGCCTTAACTTTTTGTATGTTGTTCGTCTAGTAAAGGACGAATTTGGTCAAAGATCTCTTAAAGAGAAAGTAAGTTTGTTATTTATTTATTTATTAAAAATACTTCATTTCTTGTCAAGGAATCATCACTTCCGTAGTTTGGGATATTAAATTTTACATTAAATATATAAATATATAAATATAATACACATAACAAAAACAAATGGTTAACTTAATTTACTATAGAATATTTTTTTACAAGAAAATCAATGTTCAATATTTTATAATTATAAAATTTAAAAACGTATATATAAAATTTGTTAATTATATTTTTGTAGACTCTTTATACAATTCAGACGCTTTAATAATATTCTGTTTTGTTCCAATTCCCTTCTCATAGCATAATCCAAGCTGAGATATTGCAAGACCGTGATTTTTTTTAGCCGCTGCCGTGAATAATTCAAATGCTTTCTTTCCATTCTTTTTTGTTCCGATTCCATACTGATGACATATTCCAAGACAATATATTGAATCAACATGACCTTGTCTAGCCGCTTCTTTATATATTTCCAACGCTTTTGATTCATCTTGTTCGGTTCCTATTTCATGTTGATAACATTTTCCAAGATAATATATTGAATCAGGATGACCTTTTATAGCTGCTTCTCTGTATGACGCGAATGCTTCAGTTTCACTTTGTATCGTCCCTATTCCATATTCATAACAAAAGCCAAGTTTATATATTGAAGCAACATATCCTTTTTTGGCTGCTGCTTTATACGTTTTAAAAGCTTCGGTTTCGTTCTTGTCAGTTCCTATTCCAAATTCATAACATAATCCAAGATTATATATTGCAGGTGCATAATCTTTCTTAGCCGCTTCTTTATATAAGTTAAACGCTTGAATTTTATCTGATTTTGTTCCTATTCCGCTTTCATAAAGCAACCCAAGTTTATGTATTGCTATAACATAATCTGCCTTGGCCGCTTCTGCATATAACTTATACGCCTTCTTTTCATTTTTCTCTGTACCTATGCCATTTTCATTACATAATCCAAGTTGATATATCGCGGGTATATGATTAGACTTAGCAGCATCTTTATACAATTCCAATGCTTTAATTTCATGTTTAGTTCTCGTTTCTCGTTGGTAATAATTACCAAGGTAATATATCAAGTCACAACTTTCCTGAGCCGCCCTTTCATATTCTAGATTTTTTTCGGTACCTATTTCGTATTCATAGCATAACCCAAGTTGATATTTAGCGAGAACATGACCCTTCTCGGCCGCTTGCTCGTACAACTCAAAGGCTTCAAACTCATCCACCTTTACTCCTATTCCATTTTCGTAACAAAATCCAAGCTTAAACATTGAATCGACATGACCTTCTTTTGCCGCCTTTTTATATGATTTAAATGCTTCAATTTTATTTTTACTAGTTCCACTTCCACTTTCATAACATAATCCAAGCTTATAGGTTGCAAGTGTATGACCTTTGTCGGCTGCTTTTTTATACAATTGAAATGCTTTGATTCTATTCTTATTAGTTCCAATTCCATTCTCATAACACAGTCCGAGTTGATGGGTTGCAAGAAGGTGATCATTTTCGGCCGCTTCTTTATATAATTTAAACGCCTCAATCTTATTTCCTTCCGTTCCTATACCATTTTCATAACATAATCCAAGGTTATATATTGCAGGAACGTGGTCTTTTTTCGCCGCCAATTCAAATGATTTAAAAGCTTCAATTTCATTCTTGGCAATTCCGATCCCTTCTTGGTAAAAGATTCCAAGTTTATATATCGCAATAACGTAACCCATTCCGGCTGCTTTATGATATAATATAAATGCTATAGTTTCATTTTTTTCAATTCCTTTTCCATGTTCAAAACATACCCCAAGCCAGTAGATTGCGGGAACATGATCCTGTTCGGCCACTTTTTTATATAATTCAAACGCATTGCTTTCATTTACTTCGGTACCTGTACCGTATTCAAAGCATAATCCGAGGTTGTACATTGCTGGAACATGACCTTTCCTAGTTGCTTTAACATAGAATTTGAAAGCTTGAATCTCATTTTTTTTGATTCCTTTGCCATATTCAAAACATATTCCAAGCTTAAATATTGCATCAACGTGATCTTTTGCGGCTGCTTCTCGATATAATTCAAATGCTTTAGTCGCATCTTTTCTGGTTCCTATTCCCTCATCATAAAGCGTGGCAAGTCTATATGTCGCGATAACACAACCTTTCTTGGCTGCTTTACTATATAATTTAAATGCTTGAATTTCATTCTTTTGAATTCCAATTCCATATTCATAACATGATCCAAGCAAGTATATCGCGATGATATGTTCTTTTTCAGCCAATTCTCGATAAAACTTAAACGCTTTGATTTTATTTCTCTCGGTCCCGATTCCAAATTGATAACAAATCGCCAAAAATATGGCATTCTGCGGCCTATCTTCATTTTCCAATAAGTAGTTGAACGTTTCACTTTCATTTTTGTTTTTCAACATTATATGCTGTTTGACGGATTGAACGTAATCATTGTTCGGTTCTTCATTCCTAATCTCTTTATTCTTCTTTTCACTTTGTTCGGCATTTTCAAGTAATGATAACAATTCATTATTAATCAAATCATTGTCATTCGAGTTAATAACCGTTGTTGAACCTTCATCCATTTGCATTTGATCCAATTCTTTCATTAATTTCTCCCATTTCTCATTCAAATTAATTTGCTTCAATTCGGCAAAGACCTGTTGTATATTCGGTCTATCGTTCGGATTTTCTCTCCAGCATTCTAAGATCATTTCATAAAAGTGAAAGGATGATGAGATAATGATTATTATGATAAATTAATGAATAAATGAATGAATGAATGAAACTTACTTTTATAAATATTAAGATAATTCGCTGGTGTATCAGGGATGGGGGTTTCCCTTTTTCCATTTAAAAGTTCTAAGAATAACGCGTCCTTATTATAAGTTTCAAATGGTGGTCGTCCGGATGAGATTTCCCATAAGAGTATACCAACGCTGTATACATCGGATTTCTTAATAATTTCATATTGAAATTTGCCATTGGTACTCGCTTGCATTCTGAGGTATTGTGGATCGGTATAAGCCAACGTTCCGGGATCCGATGACAGGTCAGTCAACGCTTCGAAAATGACCGTCACGGGATTTGATGTCACCTCGGACAATTTACGCGAAAGACCGAAATTCGTCAATTTGATCACATTTTGATGAATCAAGATGTTATTCGAATGCTGTTTCGTGAACATGAGATCAAAAATTAATATACATAAATAAAATCACTCATTCATTTTAAGACTTGATTGATAAATAGAAATACTCACCAGGTCATTATGAATGATGTCTCTTTGATGTAAGAACGAAACCGCGCTGGCAATTTGTGTGGCGAATTGTAATTTAACCTTCCAATCTAATTTTTTGAAATTAACTTTCAAATAATCGCTCAACGTGCCACTATCGGTATATTCAAGAATGGCCAAGTAATTTGAATCTACAAAATTGAAATGATAAATATTTTAATACTTGGGAGGAAGGTTAACAGATCATAGACAGAATCAAAATTCGGAGTTGGAATCCTTTGACTTACATGTTCTCTTGGTAATTCCAAAGAATCGAATGATGTTCTCGTGAGGATTAACTTGATGTAATAATTGTAACTAAAAAAAAAAAAGTAAAGGTGAGTATGAAATATTACTAAGGGAATTATCCTAACGTTAATAGATATATTTACCTCATTAACAAAATTTTTCGTAATGCAGTTTTTTGTCCCAAAAGATTTTAATGTAACAATGGTGTTTTTACTCTTCCAATTTGCTTTGTACACGTTACTTGATCCTTCAGTATCTATGCGTTGAATACGTTGAAATTCTTCGTAATCATGATAAATAATATGATGGTTGGCAATTCCATTCTCAACCCAACTATCCGCATCATTACTCCCACTAAAAGATTCGTCCGTCATTTTTTGTATAAAGGATTCAAAGAGGAAGAAGGTGCGGGCATATCAGTCAAATGTTCATAACCCTAATGTGTTTTTATTCCTAAATTTGGCATCATATGATGCTATTGCACTGCGCCTCGTTTTACAAATGATGTTACAAGCACATCTTTCACAATTGAGAAGATCATTTAAATAAAATTAAAAACGAATTTTTATTTTTAGAAACCAATTTCATGAAAGGAATCATTGTTGATCTTATACTTTGAGCATTGACTCTGTCATTGTGATCTATTTTTGTTGCTGATTTTGAAGATATGATGTAAACAAGCTTCGGAATTCGTAAAATTAGTATGGTATGGAACAGATTGGGAGATAAAGGAATGGGGTAATATTTTTAATATACAGTATAGTATCATTATAGTAGAAATCAGCCGCTGGGTGATCTCGGCAAATGTTCCCATGGAATTTCGGATGGACCTTACATGTAAGAAGGAGGTGCGGTTGAAACGACCCATAAAAATGAATATGCATTTATCAAAAAATTTCGCAAAATCATTTTTGCATATGGATTCATCAGTACAAAATGGTAATGCTTATTTCAAAATAAAGTTTGATCGCTGTATGCATATATAAATTTCCATTTTAGGACTAGATTTTCACTCTAGAACCTCTCTGTTACTATAATTCGATTTATGAATGGTGATTAAATTGAACTGATCGTCACTTCCCTAAAAACCAATCAAATTCAATCAAATTTATGCAGTAAAAAATTCTTTGAAAGTGCGAATAATGGTAATTTTGAAATCATAACGCATATATCCATGGAAAAGGTGTATCGGGTTTTGTTGAATATGAATACGTTGCACTTTGGCCGAAATATGAGATTTGACCAGAATTAAAAAAAATTGAATTTTTCCGGATTCAGATCGCCACGATTCGAATTACTAGCGAGTTCATGGATCATAGAAATCAAACTTCATAACTTTTACTTATCAGGTATTTTTTTTTTTTGTAATAGCAGATAAAGAAATAATAACGTGTTTTATGTTTTTTTTTCGTATAAGTTAGGATTTTTTTCCCCTCTATTGATTCAAACTTAAAAAAATCTAGCAGAAACAAATCATTAAAATAGTGATTTGTTGAAAATATATTTATTGCATTCTCGATATATTGTTGGATAGAATGTAAAATAAATGATACTCCTAATAATGACTGGCATTATTAATGCCACTTGTCTTTATAATTATACTTTACAATCATAGTTTATAATTAACATCTTTTGACCCCGCCGATCCATAACAGGAACCAGAAAGTCGTAACCCGAAGAAGTTGTAATTCGATCCAAAGTAGAGATAACCTTTCGAAAAAGGATTTTCTCGACCACTATTCATCGGAAATTAGCGATCAATCTCGTTGAATTCTCATCGAAAACATTCATTATCTCATTTAAATTTTGTTCGCGATATATATTTTTATTTTTTTTTTAAAAAAATGAAACGATCTACAAAACAAACTCGTTGGGCTACCCAAATAATTTCGGCGACATATATATATATATTCCGTCCATATTTCATTTGAATAGGGGTACATTATTTTTTTTTTTTTTGTTGTATTTTTTATAAATTTAAAGAAACTAAAAAAAAAAATGTGAGCGTGATTGCAAGCCGTTTACACATGATATCTGCAAAGATATTGTTAGAATGTTTCGTGTCCATATTACCAAATCCTAAATAATTACCAAATATCTAGCAATTGCTGTACAATGAAAATTGTTTCCTGTACGATTTCTTCCAAAAAAAAAAAAAAAAAACCCACAGAGATAAGAAAACGGTTTCTGTATGCAGCTGTAATATGCAGAAAGTAAAATTTTGATGAACATTGAACATGACATTGATTTTTTATTTTTTTTTTTTTTTTTTTTTTTTAGCTGTGTTTACAAATCTTGCATGAAAGCATCTTTAAGCACTGCACATGCGTTTGTCGACTTAAAAATTTCTCAATCCAGTAAACGAGAAGCAGGGAAATTTATTCTTCGGATCGAGCTTTTAAAGAAGGGATTTTCGATTTCAACCAATCACTGACATTGTTTGCTTGTTGTTGTTGTTGGTCTGCTATTCTAAAAAAGAGGCTTCCCTATATATATAGTTCATTAAAAAAAAATTCCAGTTTTTACGTGCATGGATATAAAATCATTAAGGCCAACAAAAATAACTCACATCGTAACATGTTCTCACATCTTCCTTACTAATCATTCGTTTTTCACCTGCACACAACAGGTACAAAGTTCCCCATTCAAGTATGGTAGAGAACCAACCAAAAAAATCAAATACGTTGGCATTAACATAAATCATATGAGCGATATCGGAAAAATTCAATCCGCCTTTATTATTCCGATCATATTTCGAAAAGATCTCTTCAAATTTCTCGGGAATGTATCGACCCTATTAATTCATGCATACTGGTAAACGAAAACAATCTCAAAAGGAGTACGCAAAAAAAGTTGAGAAATTACCTCTGTGTCGAGAACTTCGGAATCCGATCCATGTTTAGCATTATGAATGTTATCAATGTATATATTGAAAAATGGGTTACCAAAGAATGGTATCCAACTTTTTTGGGTAACATAAGAGAAGCTACCATGAATGACAGTCATGACGAAAATACTAAAGAAGATATTAAATCCTAATTCATGGGTTCCTAATACAAAAAAAAAAAGGATTGATAAATTGGAATGGTTTGAAATATCAATATTATAGTGGATATTACATACTTTTCAGTGTGTCCAATGGTCCAATGACACCATCGCCATCAGTATCGAAATATTCGACATGTTGTTGCAATATCTAAAAAAAATCAAATAAGAAAATTTTTTGATTTTTTTAATTTTATTTTAAAATTTTCTTTTTTTTATTTTTTACAAAAAAAAGAAATTTAAAACTTGCGGTTTTATTGGATCTTTTTCCGGATGTACCATTGGGATGCTCTCGAGACGCAGCGATGCAAGCACGTGGCAATCCTGGAATCGTTTAAGATTTTATTATCAACGAAGGTAACGCGCTATTATTTAAAAAACCCTCTTTTTTGTTTTTAAATAACAGAAAACGAACCGGCATTTCCGAGATCTTTCAGATGGATTGGGGCTTTACGATCTAATGTCGCCGGAACTTCTTTGGTCATCGTTGCAAATCCGGGTTCGGTTGATAAAGGAAAATTTTCGCTCATTTTTTATTCGTTTTTTTTTTTTTTGGGAGGAAATTATTTAAAAACAAAATCGTCGAAAACAATTTTATGGTTTATATATTCGAAAAAATGAATGAATTTCTTCATCCTGATGTAATACTTAATAAACATTTCGTAATAATGAATTGCTTTTAAAAAATTTATTAATCATGTATGTACCTTTTAAAATGGGTTTGGGACAATTTTAAATTTAGAAAAACCATTAGTTTAATGCGGATCGTCTACATATGATATTCATAAGGTTAAAAATATAATGCGTCACGTGATACACTTTGTCGCGTGTGCATATCAAAAATGCGTAATAGATTGAAAGTTTGGTTGAACGACATTATATTGTTTACAAGAAAAAAATTTCTGGTTTCGCTAAGATTAAGTTTTTTTTTTTGTTAGTAAAATTTGATTACAAATACCGTATATTAATTAATAAAGAAAGGAAATAATTAATCTTCCTTTCCCCGCCTTTTTTTTGTTCTCTGTTTAGAAATCTATGTCTTTTTTCTGACTCGCCTTTTGTCACATATATAATTGGTTTTCAATCATATATATTTCATATCAGCAAATGACTATATATTATATTTACTAAAATCTATGTTTTATTCTAATGTTAATCGTTTTATCTCTCAACAATATTTAGCAAAGATTTCATCATCCGTCCACACGTTCTCTCTCGTTACCACAGTCACATTTTGATTTGCGTTTGCTATGGAAATCAAATCATTAGAGATTTTGTCGAAATTGAGTAAAACTTTATTTCTCAGATAGTTTTTTGTGACGAAATACTCAAATCTATGCGTTGCAAAGTTGGAGGCCAGGAATTCGAAGAAATCCGCATCGATATCATTGTCTTTATGGTATTGAAGCGTGACATTTCTCAATGAGGATAGATGATTGGAAAATAACTCTGCTACGCCGAAGGCTGTTAGCTTCCAACATTCGGTTAAATCTAGCCCAATTAGTGAAGGAACAGTATTGGATGTTAAGGACGAAACGAGCAAAGGTAGAAATTCATCGGAAATGTTTGCCGCGCAAATCGAAAGGTGACGAACGTTTAACATATTCGGCAAACATGGCTTTAATAACCCATCTGTCAGAATCGTCACACCTGATTCAAATGACCGTGGACCCCACAATGTTAAATTTTCCATTGTTGTGGAATGTTTTTTTGTAAAACTATAAAGGAACTCCTCGTCCAAATTATGACATTTCAACAATGTCACATTATTAAGATCATGAGTATGCTTCAATAATAACGATTTATGTTGCTCTGTGAGATTAATCGAAAATACGATTAATTTTTTACAGTACGAAGAGTACTTTTGAAGTAATCGATGTTGAATGAAATGAGTTAAAACGGATGGTGTGATCACAATACGATGGTAAAGAACGGAACATGCGTGTTCAGACCATTCTTTGCATACCCTTGATACCAAAGGTAATTGAGAAATCGGTATGTGACGAAATATTGTAATATATATGTTTGTTGGAAGTGAACGAACTTTTAGCATTATGACTAGTAAGCAAACGTAAAAAAAAAAAATTCTATCTTATTGGCTGGTTAAAATTTTTTTTTTTTTTGACGGAACGAAAAAAAAAAAAATATGGAGTTATTTTGTGATAATAGATTAAAATGTGTAAAAGACGAACAAGGCAGAAAAAAAAAAAAAAAGTAAAAAAGAAAAAAATGTTTTAGGGAAAGTAGAAGGAACAATAGTTTCTTGAAGCTATTGTTTTTAAGAAGGAATTTTTTTTTTTGCAAAATTGGAATTGGTCAAATGAAATGAAATGATTTTCGACAATTTTTTTTTTTAAAAAAAAAAAAAAAAAAAAAATTTTTTTTTTTATTCCCTTGTTTTATCCATACTAATTAACAATTTACCGAGACCACACATTATATTGAGCTCATATTATTATTATTATTATGATTTTGTTATTGTTTGATAAAGTTTGATAGATATGCTATTATTGATAGCAAAAAGAAAAAAAAAATCTTTAGGTATCAAAATCTAGGTCGAACAAGTAACCTATCACATTCTCATCTGAAAAAACTCACCTTCGGAATTGATTTATTGGTTTTCCCCCTTCAATCAAAAGGAATATTAAATAGGTGGTATCACAATTGAGAGCAATTTTTTTTTTTTTATTTATTTATTTATAAAATAAATGCGCGAATACGTAATGAATTTGACGCGATTTAAAACATCGCAGGTTACACATTATGTCATTGTGCTTTGCGGGTAAAAAATCAACTTTACCACTTGTTATTTCTCGTTTTATTTTCGGCTTTATGAACAACAACAGCAAAAGACGCAAGTAAGCAAGCTAGCCCTATGTCAATATCTCTTTTCCTATTAGATCATGTTTACAAATTAAACATCGGAATGATATCATTTTGGGGAAAAATAAATTTTTACAACTTTAATTGATTTCCATAAATGTTCAATAACCTATGAAAAATGAGAATGAAAGCGAAAGAATGCCACGGAAAATGGTTTTGTTCATGAAACACAACCGGTTGAATGCTAAAACACGAATCATGAATCCCTAAATGGAGAATACAAAACCCCTCAAATAAATTTTGGTCCGCACTCCCTCTCTTTTTAATTTTTATATTGACAAAGAATTCGGTTCCAGAAATAGAAATGATTGTTTATATATATATGTATGTAAATATGTTTTTCAAAGGTGTAACAAATATTTTTTTTTTTTTACGATTTTACGATTCCAAAAAAATGTGTTGAACACGTGGATCGAATGAAATGCGCCCAGCGAAACTGCGTCGAGTCGTTTAGTCTTCATCTCGCAGATCAAAATGCATGTTTGTGTAACCGCCAACACGCGCAAGTTACGAAAGCTCACCTTATCAAGAGTTAAAGGTCTGCAAGATACTCAGTTGGTAGTTTGGCTAAATGTCTTTGATGTGAGTGAAAAAAGTTCTTGTCTGAATAAAGTTTCTTTTTTAAAAAAGATAAAGGTCGGAATTCTATGGAATCTTCTAGCATTGTAAAGGTTCTACATGTTGAAAATGGTAATTTTGTGTTGTAACAATCATTTCCCTTATATAACCCTAGTATAATCGTTCACATGGCGCAGTTAATCCAAGAAGCTCATCGATCAACCATCACGAGCAAATGACGACATGGTGTATTTGATCATCTTCTTGATCAGTTAGATCTCGTAAATCGGGAGAACAAAGAAAAAAACATAAAATAGGAGTTGACCTAGTGCCTAATGAATAGCATTATCATATAGGGACATCACGCGTAAAAATTTGGTTTTAGATCGTACGCGTTTCAATCAGTTGTGATACGTAAATAAAAGAAATCTTCACGTGATCTTTCATTTTTTGCCATATGCATCGAAAAATCGCACGCCAAAGACATTGGGTTTCAAGTTTTCAGCTAGTAATATAATGTCACCCATGACTTATTTATTTTGCCTGTCAGGTATATTTGTTTATTAATGATGTCAGATATATAACCTGTGTGCAACAAATAACAAAATCCAGAATCTTAATCTTGTATTCTTCTAATCATTATCTTTCAATTGCGGCGGAACTTTTTTTGATTATTATTGTTTGATAAAAGACTCAATCAAACCATTTATATTTTTTGTTGTGAATGCATTACGTAAACAAAGACCTTTTAGATATCGTTGGTAATGTTTAATGTTTACCATAATTTTAGTGTAAAATTTTTTTTTTTTTTTTTTATAAAAATGATAGCACACTAAGAAAAATTTTTTTTCTCAATAAAAAAAATTTTTTATTACTTTTTTATTTTTTTCCGTCTGTCCACGTTTTTTCCATACGGTAATTATCTTTTATATTTTTTTTAAATGATTGAAATGAAGGTTTATGATGATTCAAAAAAAAAAAATTACCAAAAATGGATATGAATTTACAAACATGATTTCATTATGTACTCTGATACTGTCCTATGAAAATCTTTTTGAAGCAAGACATGACATGATTAAAATTGTATTAATTATTTCTTTTTTCTTCTATTCTTTTCTTTTCTTTCTTTTTTTTTTTTTTTTAAGTAAAATAGGGTTCGTGTTGAATTGAATTATTTTTTTTTCGCTCGCAATATCTTTGAAAGGTATGGATGTGGTTCCTTTGATGTATTAAAAAAAAGAACCATCTCAATTAAATCTTTTTTTTTTTTGATATAGGTAGGTTATCGGTAAATTATTATTCGATAAAGACCCGAATGCTCGATAAAGCAATGGATATTATTCAAGGATGCAAATGCAAGCGTTAGGAACGAATACAATCATCTTATTCGAAGCCTTAATACTTCATGATGTACGAATGGCGTAATAGCTGTTTGTTGCGAGGTTACGTCAAGTTGTTTATTATGTTGAACATTTAATTTAAGTCGCGCATCCGAATTTAACATATTCGTCATTAATAAGGCACCATTTACAAAATTTATTCGCATATTCAATGATTCACCCGGTGGTACAACAAAATATCTCTATTTCGGGAGAAAACAATCATGTCTGCAACGGCGGCATCCTTTAAAGGATGCGATTTCAAATTTTTACAGCGATTCGAATTTTAAGGGTATGATCAGCAGTTTATTTACAAAACGCATGTAGTTCGATCATTTTAAGGGAAGTACTGTAGGAGTCGGTACTTCAAAAAAAATATATATGCCAAAAAATGCCCCTCTTTTTTGTTTTTGGTTTTTTTTTTTTTTTTAAAAAAAATAAAATTAAGATCCCTTTAAAACTTGTCGATACAGATAATTCGAATTCATGTTTTGTCGTACGAAAAAATCATTATTTATTTATTTATTTTTTAAAAAATTCATCTCATCCTTTTTTTTTTTCATTTTCTTTTTGTTTAACTTACTTTCATCGATCTTGGACTTTGTAAAAAAGATCGACGCGTATGTGATGAGTGAGTTAACGATTAATTAATAAAATATTATTTTTAATGAGAGATACGCGCATGTTTTAATGTTTTGATGCTTGAAGAGTCGGGATTTGTTGTTTGCTGATATCGAGCCATTGATAAAAGATAATGTACCATTTCTTTGCAGGTCAAAAACAGGATTGATACAGTATATATTATTTTTGCATAGTTATATGAAACATTTGAACCTTTTTAAAGGGCAAAGTCTCGTTTCTTTTTTTTTTTTTTTTTACGCGTTCGATTCTCGGTAACTTTCGTATGAAACCCGTGTTTGACCATAAAAAAAAATTTCATGTGAATTTACAATTTAACGATAGATGGACAATGAAGGTTCGTAATTTCGCGTCATCCGCAAAATTAAATTCCTTTTCATTCAAGTTTCAGATGTAAGCAAAATTGGATCGTCCAAATCGTTATTTTACATTTTTTTTGATAACGGAATTATGTATATCCAAACTTTTTGATTACTCCAAATATTCGGCGAAAGATTGAAATTGTAATTACATGAAATGATCTCCTGAATAATTGTAACTCGTACAGATGATATCACCGCGGAGGTCGATGCCCACTTTAGAATCTGATTAGTTTACTCGTCAAAATTAGTGAAATCTCCGGATCCTATTTATGCTTATTCAATCAAATCCGGATATAACGCGTCCGAATTCATCCTTAATTTCGGATCTACCCGGATCTATCATATTCTAGAAATGACACAAATTTAAATACATCCATATAAAGTAAATTCAGCAATAAATTTGTCATAAGAATGCTTTATTTCTAACATCACATCTTTTATTCTGGCGTAATCCGTGTCTCGATACTCAATAGATTAAGAAGTTCCAATGCAAGAAAAGATACCATTGTAAGTTAACCTTTTTTAAACCATCATTGTGTTTAATTTTTGGTTCCCCAGGTACGACAAATGAAGGATTTGTATGGATTTGTGATGGTTTAGGTCAAGAAAAGGTTCTCATTATATCTTTGAAAAGAGGTAGACGCGATCGAGTTCCTCAATATTAGGAGCGAAGCGTAATAAGATTTTTTATTCAAATGTTCGAACATTGCATCGCTAGTCAACATGGCTAAGGAGATCTTTTTTCAAAAGATTGGTTTGTTCAAATCAAATCTTTTCAATTAGATTTTTATAAGGGACATCTTTTTTGATTATTATTATTTTTGATTAAAGATTTTGAGGAAACATGGATCGAGAATTTCACATGAAAACTTTAAAATAAATTTTTCGTAATAATATAGAGGCGAGGATGTCACGTGATTTAATATCATATATTTCTGATTCAATTTAATGAACGCGTTCTCTTTTCACTATAAAACACTATCAACATTGATTGATATATGAATATTTTAAATCTAAACTTATTTTTTTTTTTTTTTTTGAAAGGATTGACCGATTAATGAAAACGTCTTGATCATATCTTTTTTTTCAAACCATTCATAATAATTTATTGGTTGGTTTAATAATGAAACATATCCCATAATAATTTAAACCCGTTAGTCATCCGAAAGTTACCAATTTTTTATTCTACTATCTTCAATGGACAAGACGCGTTTATTATCACGTGATCATCGTAATAATGATTTCATCCATCCAAAATCAAAATAAGTCAAATATCATTTTTAGAATAGACGAATATTGGGAAGATTTGCCAAGATTTTTTTGTTCTGAGAATAAAAATGTATTTAAGATCTTTTTAATTTTTTAAACAATTCTCGGAACCTAATTTTCCTAGCAAATCTTCCCATCTATTAAAAATTTTTTTTTTTTTTTTTCCCTACTTCTCTCGTTCTCTCTAATAGATTATCATAATGATTTAATGAATTTGTGTTGCTCAGCATGTGCGTTATCTCCGAATCAAAGAAAAATCAACAAACACTTTGTGCAATTGTTGAGATTTTTTATGCGAGCAATTAAATGTCTCTCAAATAAATTCGTGAAACAACCTTTTGGAATGAAACTCTGAGACAATAATGATAGAAAAAAAAATCATGTAAAGTTCACAAAAATAAAAAAAGTTCCGAGTAACACCCCCTTAGTTTTATTCGAAACCTTATGATCAGAAGATAGAATTCCATGATATGTCAGTAAATTAAAAAAAAAAAAGGAAACAACCCTCAATACATTTTATTATGATGCATCTAAGAAATTAATAATGGAAAGTAAAAAAAATTCTTGCTTCGTGTTGAGAAGACACATAAAAAATAAAAATAAAGATATCTTAATGTCATCATCCTTCCTCAAACATTCTTTTCTTTCCTGACTTTGGATATTGCTTCATTGAACTTTTACTATTTCCCCAAAGATTTTTAAAATTTATAAAATTTTCCTAAAAAAGATTAATTGTCTCCGCTGATTGATTATTATGTTACCTAACAATTAGTTTAAACCTAAATTTTTAAAAAAAATTTATTTGTCCAATTTGAAAAATTTTTGCTCCAGATATCAAAAAATTATTTGGCACAGTAAATGTTTTCTCAGGATTTAAAGTACGTGACATATTAAGTACGAGACATAGTAAACCCATAATAAATTGGAATGCTATGATTTGTAACGACGGGACCCAACTCAAAAAAAAAAAAAATCATTATATTTGGATCGATCTTGTTTATTTCGAAAATAAAATTATTATTTCATGAAAAAAAAAAATTATTTCAATTATAAAGATACAAATAATTAAGAAAATCTATATATTATACTATACTATATAAATAAATAAATAAATAAATTATAGGAAATCAAGCATTAATTCATTCAATTCCAAAAGATTTTCATTATACAATCTTCTATTAGAAGATGGACTATCACGGCGTGTAGAGGGGGTAGTTTGCATGTCTGTTGGATCAATTTTATACATAATTTCCAGCATTATCTTATATTCTTCAAATGAAAATATAGCACCTTGCTCTTTAATTTGTGTCAGCATATTCTAAATACATTTTAAATATATATTTTAAAAAATATTATTAGAATTAAAACGTGGTTTAACGAAAAGAGATTCAATATGAAACATACCACAGGTCCCATGTTGAACATTTCATAATATCTTCTAGCTCTTTCCAATGAAATTTCACCAGGTGTTTCAACAATATTTTTTAAATTTTGTTGTAATGCAAGAATATTACGTGTCATTTTCATAACACCGTTTGTATTTAAATTTCTTATAAAGACAGCATTATTTACCAACAAGTGTTCCATTAATGCATCAAGTCCCTCAAATACAAATCTGTTAAAAATGAATAAATAATAAAAGAGTAAGAATTTAAGGAAACGAATAAATAAAGACAATGATATGAATCTATCTTACTTGTGTTCTTTCGTTGGTAAATGAGATGCGATGTTCTCGTTAAATTTTACCATGTCCGCATTAAGTGTTAAAACATATGGATCAGGTTCGTATGCTTCATATTCGAGTTGATAATTGCCCTACAATTATCGAAGGAATGTTTTAAATAACTCAACCGCTTTGATAATTATTATTATAAAGTCAAAAATATATTACCTCACGCATCGCTTTATCAAGGTAATGTAATGTATGACATCGTAGTTCAATTCTTAAAGTGAACAGATTTTGCTCAGCCAACTGTTGAAAAGTAGCCAATAGGGCATCAAATCGACTATTCCAAAAATTCATGAATTAAAAAAATAATCCCGTCATATTTACGATAAGTAAAAATAGTCATAAATCAAATATACTTTGCCATTTCTCCCGTTAAAGGTAAGCTAATTTCTCTATCCCCATTTTCTTTCTTCTTTTCATCATCGACATTTAAACTAAAATTAACATCACCATATGATGACCAACGACGATTTATTTTGGCCTGACAATGAATCAAACATGAAAAATTACTATATTTATGTAACATAAAACTCGAACAAAAATGTGGTGTATTTCCATATTTACCAAATTTCCATCATCCATTTTAGTCGAATGTAGGTTGCCTGTTGAATCTTTGCCACGAAGTTCCCAAATTTTGGCAACGAACCATTTCTAAGTAAATTAATAGCAATCAGTAATTCGAAAATTTTGTTATCGCAAAATAAATCTCAGGATTCATTTCCTACCAAGCTGTGATAAAGGTTCGCCAAAGCTGTTAATTTCTTATTATCGGTAATTAACTGTCCTAAACTAATTTCGCGATTCTTTTTAAAATTCATTTCAATTCTGGTTTCCTAATGAGAATAAAAAAAGTTAAATTATAACTATAATTTACGATAGTAAATCAAAACGTATTAATCACCTTATCACAGAGTTGTCTTCGTTTGCGTCGATTTTTAGCATTATCTTCAGCAACGTAAGGATATTGTCCTAAAACCTCGGACAATTGATCTTGTTGTACCCAGGTAGCACTAATACCCTGGTTATTTGCATCGTCTTTTACATTTGCTTCTCCTTTGTTCTTTGAAACGGTTGCTATATTCCAACGCCCCCGAAAAAATGATGTACTTAAGTTTTTAAATTTTTTTATCCCAAATAAAAGGGAAGAGAACATAAGATAAATCACCTTGATATTGTTCAAAACATTTCACATAATATTGTGTAAGCAGAGAGATGATCATTTTACTGTATTCTTCTTTGTGGCTTGCCATATTATGAAGCATGGCACAAAGACTTTCAACAATCATCATCAATGAAGATGCGCTCTAAAATATATATTTTAATAAAAAAGGACATTCTCCAAAGGTTTAAAAATAAAAAGAAAAAAAATCCACCTTGATAACTGGCAATGCAGAATAAGTCTTGTAATTTGGATCTTCTTGGAAAGCATCTGATTCTAGGTTATATTAAGCATAAAATTTTAATAAATTTATTTTAAAGTATAAAGATAATTCATAAGTTTAATAATTATTACCAGCTGTGGATTGACGAAATATTTCAAATATTTTATCACCAATCTGCGGTAAAAATACATTAAAGACAAAGTCATCC